TTTTCAGGACACCTTCAGCAACATTTGTTTCAAACAAATCAATGAATATACAAAGAAACTGTTTACAGCCAAAATAGCTATTAATATAGTAAACGTCTATTGTACACAAAAAAAACTGTAATAATTGTCGGCACTTCTTTTTTTCTTTTATTATTACTGTTTTTAGTCAATTTCGTTAATTTAAATTAATTTTTAAATTAGTTTTTAAAATATCTTTTTTTTTTTCCTAAAAGTTTTATGAATAAAGTTTTGAAGCTTTTATTTAAGTGTACTCTATTTTAATCTTAATCGGTCTTTTTTGCTCGTTTTACGTAAGCTAAACTTTTACTGAGAGAATCTTTTTGTCAAAAGTTTTCTTATCATTGTTACAAAACTGTGAAACCAATATTAACACCGACAATAACTTACTTACAGCAGATTTATGAAAATTAAGAAACAGTAAAAAATGAACATAATTTTTGGTCGCAGCGGTTGACAAAAATTCTTCAGTTTTTTTTTTTTTAAGCAATTTATTCAGAAAATTATAAAACTTGAATATTTCTTTTGATGTTAGCTGTAGCAATTAATTGCTGCTTTATTTACTCCGTAAGCGTCTGTTCAAATTTTGGTAAGAAAAAAAATGTTTTACGTAACGTTTTTACGAAGAAATTCATCTGTAAATTACCTGCCAATTTATTGACTATTATCTTTTAGTTTTTTTTCCTGTAAAAATTATGTTAAATAGCAGATTTCAAAAAAAAAATTTTTTTTTTCTAGGCTAATAGATTGTGCATAAAAGTTAGTAAGAAATTGGTCTTTTAAACCAATTTGAAAGCAATAGTTTATAAACAGAGAATAATAGAAAAAAATAAGTTTGCTTAAATGGTTTTATATATTTCTTTTTTCCTATTATATATCAACTTTGCAAAGCAGTAATAGCTATTTAAAAAGTTGATAAAATTTTAAGCATTGATTCTTTCTTCAGGATTGGTCACCTGTCCATCATCCTATGCCATTTTTACATTACCAGTTGTTTTCAATGATTAGCACTAACTTTTCTTTTTTTTGTTACATCGTTCACCATACAAGTAAATTAGCTAAAGAATATTTTTTACAATTTTAATGATTTTTTAGGTTATTCAGAATAGAAAAATTACGTTGGCATTTTTACTACGATACAGTATATTCCACAGTCATATATTTTTTTTCTTTTTGAATTAATTCCCATAGTATTTTTAGCCAAGAAATTTTGCCGTTCTTTTTTTTTTTCTTGTATTACTGCCAATATGTCGAAAAAAGATACGTTATCAAACTGATGATAAACTATGGTACCTTCTGTTTCAGAAATAAAACAAGAAAAAAGTGATAAGTTGTTTGTTTAGAAAAAGCATTACATATAATCAAAGTATTCTTACTGAATATGTAATGATTATTTAATCGTATTTTTACTACCGGTATCTCAGAAAATTTTCATACTTTTTCGCTGCTGTTCTACTGTATTTTTCTGTCTACAATACGTCACCAATGTTTCATGCTAATGAAGCAAAAATAATGCGACTGAAAAAAAAAAGCATTTTTTTTTTTATCTGGACAGGTTGGTAACTTAAAATATGTGAACAATTTAGGTAAATCAAGAAACTTCATTGGATACAGAAAAAAAAGGAGTTAATTCCTCGATACTGACCGTTTTACAGACTAGGACGGTAGTCGACAGATTATTTCAGTCTACCAACAGACCAGTCGTATACTATTTGGAACCCAAAGCTTTATGTAGAACAAATAGATATCATTTAGAAAACAGGAAGCAAAAAAAAAGCAGAAGCAAAGAAAAACAACGATGAAACTGTTTAACATTTCTACCTTTATTATCGTTGTTTTTATATCAGGTTAGCAAATTTACTGCTACTTTTTCGTCCATCCATAACTTTTCGATGTTATGCAATATTAGTCAATACACAATTTATCGGTCCAAACACAGGCAGAAAAAAGTGCAAAAATCACTGGTTCATTTAAAATCCGCTTAATTTAAGAAAACATAAACGTTTTTTTCCTGAGGCTAATAGCACAGTCAAAAAAGTTTATAAACTTTTGAGAAAAAAGAAGTGAACTGCCTCATAAATTGGTTATTTTTGAGAAAAAGCTTTTTTTTTTTTTATGTAAGAGCTTTTTTTATTTTAATAGCTGAAAAATTGGCAAATACGGTCACCGTAATTTTTTAATTTATGTGTTGAAATAAGAAAAATCTTTATCTAAGATTGACCAATTGTACAGCTGTGTCCTAAACCAGTTGATCAGACAGTATTATTTAGAGAAAATTTTGAAAATAACGAAAACACTAATCAGTTTTAAAAATTTATAAAAAAATTTGAAAATAGGAAAAAAAAAAGAAACAGATGCAGAAAAACCAGAAAAAAAATTTTTTTTTTAGCAATATAGCAGATTATAAAGTGCAGAATTTGGAACTGCAATATGAAACAAAACACAAAGATTTAAATGATGCCAAAATACTGTTCTAACAACAGACTGTAATGAAGTTTCCTCTCATAGCATCGTAACCCCATTAAAAGATTGCTATCTTTTTTTTTGTGGTGCACCTCTAACCAGTTAAAAAAAATTTTTAGGTGATGAAAGATGATGGAAAACCCATTTGAAGAAGGGGGGAGGGGAGGGGATAAGAAAAAACCCACTATGGCACCACTAAACGAATAGTTGAAACTAAAAAGACAAAAAAATTTTTTTTTAAAATTTATTGCATCAAAAGTTAAAATTTCTTTTTTTTAGTAAACCTATGATTCTGTGTTCCATTCCATGTACGAATGTCGTCAACCAAACAAAATCGCTATAATAACTATTGCGAAAAAAATAACAACAAAAAATAAGAAATTTTTTTCTTGACTTTTGTTTTATTTTGTCAATATTTTGTAGTAGAAATAATTTCCTTTTTTTTTCTGGTTATATTCCCAGTCCCCATTTGTACGTTACGCTTAGAACGAATGTAATTGTGTTGCTGCGAAAATAGCAACACTTATTCTACAAAAATTTTTTTATAGCTTCCGATAAAAAAAAATTTTTCAATCAGAATGAAGTTACGGTGTAACACCTTTAGTTTTGAAGAAAAAATTTTGAAAGCAGACGTCTAAAGAAAGCTTGATACACTTAGGCGACATCTAAATGACCAATGTTTGGGGCTGAAACGTTGGTCTATGACGACACAAGTGTTTTTGAAAAATTTTTTTTTGTACAAAAAAAGAAAATTACTTTTTTTCTTCTTCAAAGTCTCTATTTTAATGGCTCATAAACCGTCAAAACGAACGACTTTTAGATGGACTTTTTTTTTCTGTTTTTAGATATGCGTTTATTACGTTTCGCTGATTGATGCTATGAAATAAACAGTTAAACAGTTGTAAAATCTTCACTTTAAAATAATAAAATTAAGTAAAAAGAAAAACAAATTTGAAAAAATTTTATGTTTCTACCAATATGGTAAAAAACGCACTTTTTTCCCACTTAAAACTTCATTTTTATATCTTAATAAATTTTATACTCTCAGAGAAAAAAGTGTTATTTTTATCAACTGCCTTTTTTTTTGACCAAGTAAATGCCAACATAAAACTGCTTTAATTGTCCGCAAAAATTGTCAAGATTTTTTATTCTAACTTCATCAAAATTACTGTTACTCACACTAAAGCTCCAAAATACCATGTCAGTAAGTTGAAATGCTTTATGAAAGCAATATATACATCCCACAACTAATGCAACATAAATTCGCTTATCGTAAATTCTGGCAGCATTAATTTGTTTAATACAAATTATGAACGCCGAAGAACTAAGAATTTATTGCTTAAAAGGTAGATTTGAGTGTTTAACATTTTGCCTCACGCTATAAGCTTTATTTTATACTTCTCTCATTCTCTCGGCAATCTTCTAAAGACCGCTGAGAATTGCTTTGTTCACCCTTTGGTATCGTCTAGCCATAAAATATGTGAAATTTTGTGCCCTTCTTGCCTACATCTCAACTGAAGAAAATTTACTCTCAAATGCAACAGTAACCAATATTCTGTCTAAATCAAAAACTCTCTCAGTTTGAGTTGCAATCTTATTGAGAAAAAAAATTTTTTTTTTCCTGGCCACAACTGTATATGATAGTTGGGTCATTCAATGGTTTCGCTTATAAAACCGATCAGGACGAAACACATCTTTTTAGTCGTATAATAACTAGGCAAAGTGCAATATTTTCAGACAAACTGAGAGATAGGAAAAAGTTGAAACGCTTCTAAACAATGACATTAACTTTAAAAGAATCGATTACATAAATGACTTTATTAAAAAGTGGACAAAAAGCGACATAGTGTAACTTTTTTTAACAACCATTACTCATTAAAGTTTGATTAACTTCTTTTGCACCAATTACTATGAGTGATCAAATAATCGTAAAAACTGAAGCCTAACTGGCCACTTCTATTCTGCTGAAATTACAACCATTCTTGCGTAACCACCTTAGAGAAAAGTAATGCGTTTTAAGGTCACATTGTTTTTATTTTATGACAGTATATGGAACAGGTTGTCACTAAAATTCATTTGACTATATGAATCTATTTAAAAAACAATAGAGTTAGCTTCTTATTAAAAAGATAAATTTTTCTTCCTTTAATGTTTCCACTTAAATGACTTATTTGAAAACTACATCCCAATTCTGCTAATTCTATTTCTCAATGTTTTTTTCATTTATCACATTGCAACCCCTGTGTGTGACAAAATTCTCTATTGATAAAACCGTAAAAACGCAAATTAAACAAAACATTGAAACACTGGAAAAGATAAATCAGTCCAGATTTGCAGTTTGAATTTTAGAACCCTAATTTGACCAAATTTCATTTCATAAAAACCAGAAAGATTAGAATAATCCAACAGTAGTTGATAACGAAGTTGCAGACAGCATCTGTTTGATAAATGTGAACCATAAAAAGCAAGAAGATTATGGCGACGAAAAAAATTTGAAGAAGAATTCAGTACAAAATGAGATGGAAAGACTACATTACATTTGGTACCTTTGTGCACTAAACGCTTTGCTTGGCGCTGTCGGCAAAGAAATTTATTCAACGATGAACAAGTAAGTCGAGTCAAGAAATTACTCTTTTCAAGCTTTTTCAGAATGGAACACCTTAACTGCTTAACAATTCCAGGCCTAAACGAATAGATTTTAGTCGCTGTTTAGCTAACATTCACGAAGACCTTGACATACCTTCCGGAGCTAAATGCATTATAGCTGCAGTTGACAACAATTTACCAGGTAATTTTGTATGTCGTCAATAAATGATGTTATTGAAGCATATTAATTAAACTAAAAAATCAACCGATTGAATTGCTAGAAGACTTACACAAATTTTGCTGAAATCTATCTTAGCGACCTATTGGAACTGCATCTTTCAAAAAATCCATCAATGACACAGCTACTTCAGCAAAACTCTCCCATAACGGCAAATAAATTTTTCAGAAACAAAAAAAAAATTTTTTTTTTAAAAATTTTCAAAAAATTTCAGAACTGGTATTTACTTAATAAACATCAAAATGTTTATGAACTTTTTTCTATTAATGTAGCAATTTTAGAGGTAATAGCTGAACAAAACGCGGCTATTCTGCGCAAAGGTAGCAAAAAAACTAAACCGGCTTATTTGAAAATGTATACAGGCAATAATAAGACTTCAAAGCCAGATTTTAAAACAAGGTATGTATTATAATGTCAAGAATGTAAACCAACTTTTACAGTCCCATGGAAGTTTGTCACTGCTAACAGATAGATTTATAAATTTTATGACTGAACTTTTTTGTCCTATCTTTATTATGTCCTATGAGACCTAGCTTCTACAAACAGCAAAAGTAACAAGCTGTTGCCACTGATAACACCGGGCACTAGCTATTTAAGTTTCTGACAAAAGTCTAGGACGTTATCAAGCCTTAGACCCCTGACGTTAAACACTCCTTTCTTGTTCCGTATAAGAATCACTATTTCGTCTATCTAAAAAAAAACTCACTTAACCTTCTGCTTATCTAGTTGAACAAACTGAATCTGAGTCACATCGTTTGATGGAAGGAATAGCTATTTCCTTAAACTATTTTACTGACTACACTTCGCTGTGACACAACAAAAGTTTTCTTCGCTAGACAGACAACTTCTTAAATTGAGGCACCACTACTGTAGTCCCCCGTGTACTCCCTACTTGGGCCCTACGCTAAATTAACCGTGACCGTAACTAGCCACTTACGAATCACAGCTACCAACCAAACAGACTGTAACCTGACAAAATGTAACCAGCTGTAATTTGAGGTTTTTGACCTACGTGTCTCCGATCTTCTATACCTTGACGTCTTATGTAACTTCTTGGGTCAAACTTTCTCATTCTGTTGGAGCCTTTTCTTATACTTAATCCCTTAATTATTACTTCACCTTTATACTTTACAAATAGAAAAATCTCGTTGACACCAGTCAAACACACAGTAATATAACAGAAAATATTGATTACAGATAGAAACAACTCGAGGTCGAAAAAAAAAAAAAACAAATTAAAGGCCGCTTACCGGACACGTGATAACAGAAGATAGTATAAACTGAGGTCGACAATAAGTAGACAATCGCTTAGTCAATATCGGTCGGTAGAATGAGCCAAACAACCGTCATAATTACATTGATATAAACAATGAATAAAATTGCTTGATTACTGCCTCTTTTATACCTAGCTTCCGTCCGCTTAGGCGGTTAGCCTGCAACCCCTCCGGGAGCTTCCCCTGAGGGAGCTACAGTGACCTCAAATTCTTCCTACGGTGCCTTTCGCGAGCGGTCGCAACAGAAGTGGATCTGAAGAGAGCAATCTCAATAACTACTGTAAACTTCTTAGTGTAAACAAACAATCGATTAAAAATAAGCACAATTATCCTTTATTAATAACAGCTGAACACCAA